TAGAATTTAACGCTGAAGAAAATGGTATAACTGTTAAATAAAACAATGAAAATTCTAAGATTCTTTAAAATTAAAAAAGAATTGTACAGGTTTATTACAAAAGATTTTCTACGTTATTTCGAATTCTTTTTAATTTCAAAGATGCAGAATTCGATGAAAAATTTTATGGTATTCTTGAAATTCCAATGGAACTTTTCATAAAAAGAAAACTTCTGTTCTATTTTAGATTTTTTTGAATGTCGCAGTTACGCTATTGGATAGATAATCATCTTTTTAAGTTAGTGCTAACAAAGAAAACTTGTTTTAAAAGACAAATGAGCAGTTTTGTAGAGCTTCAAATTCTCTATCATTTAGTATTTAAACAAAATATTTTTATGAATAGCAAGTGAGAGAAAAAAAAACACACATCGAAATTTAGTACAATTTCATCTGAGATACCTGTTAGTTCTTTCTAGTGTTTAACAATTATAAAATTGACAAATTTTATTCGCTGAAGATATTTACATAAAACTTAAATTATTTGTATGAAATAAAATTTTCTTATTTTTTTTTATAGCTGATAATAATAAACCACCTGTAAAACTTCCATATCTTGGTCGTCTTGATATTTTAACAATTGAAGGTACTCCATCGGGTTTACATCATATAAAAGAATTACTTGTTGCTGCACCAAATCTATGCGTATTAGTCATTGATTTAGATTGTTTACTTACATTACTTGAAGATGAAAATGAACCACTTATTTTATATGTTCTTCTTCATCAACATATACTTGATCTTTGTGTTCGTATACCAGATAATAATAATAATAACAATAATAATAATAATAATCAACAAACAAAAAAATCAAAATTAACTGTTGAAAAAATACATTTTATAGCACGAGTATTTACTCGAGTTAGAAATTTAACAATTGATTATGAAGCATCAGATGAATATATTGAAACAAATATAATAAAATCAATTATAAAAGAGTTTAAACAACTTGTTATATTTCATATTTATGGTAAAATTCCAAATGATATGATAGAAAATGATATTCGACAATGGGTTATAGAACAAAGTTGTTTTCGTATAAAATCTCTAGACATATTTCGAGTAGAATGTAGTAATGAATGGTTTAAATTATGGTTATAAGAAGAAAATTCTTTAATGATGAAATTTTCTGTTTTTTTAATACACAAAAAAAAAAACGAAAAATTTATTTTAGATGAATAATTTCTTAAAATCAAAATTCGAATATTTACCAGATGAAATTATTCTTGAAATATGTCGATATATTCATTGTGGTCATGTATTTTATTCATTTTATAATCTTAATTCACGTATTAATCAAGCAATAACTGATTATTGTCATCATGTTATACTTCGCCGATTAAATTATAAACAATTTCTTTATATTTATTCAAATATTTTACCACAGATTGGTACATTTATTATTTCATTAACAATAAATCGTTTACAACAAACATATTTTTTACATAATTTTAGTCTTCATATGAATAAAATATTTCCTAATTTAGAAAAATTAGCATTAGATGATTGGAAAAATAAAGAATTATTTTCATTTATTGAAAATGATTTAAATCAACTTAAATATCTTCGTACAATTATTATTCGTGGTTTAAGACAAATAAATCAAAATAATTCAATTACATATTCAAATGATGATCAACAACATTTATTAGATATAATTCATAAAAATACTCAAATTGAATTGATTTATTTTGAACCTGATTGTTATTCAATGAAATTATCAATTAATCAAAAAAATTTTATAAATCATTCAAATCTTATAGAAATGAGTATATCACTTTTAACATCTAATGATTTAATTTCTCTTGCTATACTTATTCCAAATATTCGTCGACTTCATGTTATTATTGAAGAATTTTTACCAACAATTAATCAAGATATAATACCATTTCAATGTCTTACACATTTTTCTCTTAATGCTATAGATTTTTATTCAACATTTGATAATATTTCATCAATACTTCAACTTACACCAACTATTCAACAACTTTCATTGACTCTTACTACTAAAGATGAACGTCTTATTTATGGTCAACATTTATTTACATTTTTATCTTCTCAATTATTTACTAACAATAAGCTTATACAATCATTGAAATATGCCGTATATTTTTCTACATCTGTCGATAATTATTTTGATTCAAATAGTCTTTTAGAATCATGGAATCCAATTTCTATTGCTTATACAATTAATAAAGATGAAAAGAAATCCTATATACTTATTCATACATTACCATATCCATCTATTCTTCTTAATTTATATTCAATATTACCTAATAAATTTGGTATTAGTCTAGGTGATCAAGTTTATAATAATATTCAATATTTATGTATATGTCATGCAAAAACTTTATTTGAAACATTTACAATTATACAACATTGTCGAAAAATACAAGATTTAAGTATTCAAATAGATAAAACTAAAGCAATTTTACCAGGTAGAATCAATATATGAAGTCTATTAAATAGTATTACACGAAAAAAAAAGAAGAATTTGAAAATATTTTCAGTCAAATTCAATTTTCTTCTTTTATTCATAGAATCTTATTTAAGTTTTGTTTTTCATACGAATCATCTTAACTAATTTTCTTAAATAGTTTTTAAAAAAATAGAGACATGACAATAGTGTACACAAACTAATGTATTTGACACCTTATACGTCAATAGTTCATGAAAATTCAATCCAAAAGTTGACAAGAAATTTTTTTCTCATGAACTTAGCTCATTTTAAAAAATTTTATAAAGTGAATATACATATATATCTACTATTAGAATGATAATTATTATTAAGAAGAAGATTAGATTTTTCGTTAGTTCACAACGAGTATAATTGCAAATGATAAACTAGTACATGATAATAAAACCAATAGAGAAAATACATCGATATCGATTTATTATATATAGTGATAGACATTAGTTTAAAGCAGTTGTATTTTTAAGTTTTCTTCTCAAATGGTAATAACTAGTATGAATGTGAAAAAACATTTGTGTAATAAAAAGAATTCTCTATCAAGATTTGTAGACTTGAAGACTTCAACAAACCGCTTGGATGAGAGTCTGCGGAAAACCAAAACTTCTAAAACTAGTTTTCTGGTTGTTATTCGAAAGTTTTGGAGAAAGCTTGCATTTGACAAAGGAAGATGATACGTATCTGACCTCTCCATGACCTTCCTTCATCCAGCTGCATTCAATTGACAGAAGGTCCAAGAAGCATTTTTTCTTTCTGTTTCTATTGAAAATTGCAATGTTTTTACCATATTTGACACATTGGGGCCCTCTATAAATTGAATGCACTTTAATGAAGGAAGATCATGGAGAGGTCGGGAACATCACATCTTCCTCTATTAAATACAATCTTTTCCCAAAAGCTTCAAATGGAAGTCAAAATGCTGATTTTCTGTATCTTGGTTTTCCGTAGACCCACATCTAAGAAGTTTTGTTGAAGTCTTCGGACTGTCAATTCTAATAGAGAATCACTTCAACTGCACAGATGCTTTTTTTTAGATTCTTACCAACTATTACCATCGAGAAGAAAACTTAAAAAACCAACTGCTCTAAACTTTTGTCCGCTACTCATTAAGAATATCAGATCTGTTAATGCATATAGAACTATTGTATATTTATTCCTTTTCATTATTATCGATATATCTCTAAAATTAGTCTATTGTGAACTAACTTTTAACTGATTGCTTGAACTTAGAGTTGTTAAGCTCCAAGATTTGTTTTGTAGAAACTGTTATCAATAGTCATATATCAAATATTGGATCTTCAATTTTTCCATATTATTTATGAGTAAATATCTGAAAAATAAACTCTACGAATATTTACATTGAATGGATTCTAATTAAAATTGAGCAGAACTATTATTATAAACGGTTGATGGAACAATGGCTTCCTAGTACTAAAAAAATATCATCTTTGAGACTACGATCTAAGAGTCGATAGATCCGTATGTATTATTATATTATTTATGAATCAGTTGAGAAGTATATAATAGAATATTTCATTTTCTAAGAAATATCTATTAGTGTTATCTGGATTCAGTTAATTTGATTAAATCAAAATAATTTTATATTTAATTTTAATATTTTTATTCTAGTTCCGACAAATCAACAAACAATTATTAATCTTCCAAAACTAAAGCAACTTGAAATAATATCTATATTTGGAACGATAGATAATTGGCAACATTTTAAAATATTACTTATCGCTGCTCCTAATATTAGTACATTGTGTATTGATCTTGATTGTGCTATTAAATTATTTGAGACTACTGATGAAGATTTAATATTTTCACGTGTTCTTCATTTATTTATTGATGGAAACAACAGTAATGTTAAACTTAAAAATGAACATATACATAGTTTATCGAAAGTTTTTAGTGGTATACATTCATTAAAAATCAAATATAAAACAGAAAATTTCATTGAAACAGATATTATAAGTACAATATTAGATAATTGTAAACAACTTATTGTATTTACAATAAATGGACAAATATCAGATGATAGATCAATAGAATATATTCAAGAATGGCTTATTGAATATTCATCTCGATTAAAAAATTCTGATAACAATTATCAAGTAGATTTTTGTGATAATTGGTTTCAAATTTGGTTATGAATATTTGTTGTTTTTCTTTATTATAATTTCCTTAAACTGATATTTTAAATAAATTTTAATAGACAACTTTTTAGAAATTTTTAATGAATATTTTATAGACTATGATTGAATATATAAGTTTATACGACATTCAACATTTACCAAATGAACTCTTTTTTTTTTCAAAATATGTCAATATATCAATTCAAAAGATTTGCATTGTGCTTACGAGGAAAGTTTCTTAAATGAAAATCCGCCTTTCGTACATTTTTTTTTATTAAACTTTTCAATTTTAAGTCTATTTATAGTCTTACAACGAAAAATATACCTATCAACAAACAGAAGAATGTAATAGTTTAATGTTATTGAAGCCATACATGAAGTATTGTAGCATGAGCAAGTTCTCGAAGATTCTCCAGTCGATATGCACGTTTACAACGGTTCGGAAGATCACGCATTTTTGACTTCTGTTCATTTTCACCAGTCAAAAGAGTATGAAAAATGATAAAATTCAATTTTGGAAGACCATTTATTAGTATATGTAATGTTTCAGGAACTTGACTACCATCATGACAGTTTAACTCTATGATTTCCAGATGTGGCAATTGTTTGACAATTAAAGAAACAATACCTATTATATCTGGATATTGCCAATCCGTATAAAAATGTAGTTTTTTTAATCCATTTGACATGAGTATATTGCATAAAGAAGTATCATTGAAAAGTTTGATTACATTTTGCTTGTTTCTTTCATCATCTAAATCATAATCGAAGTAATAAAGAAGCTCTAGAGTACGTAAATGAATCGTTTTTGATAAGAGCAAACGTAGTTGACATAAATCGAATGGATCATCAATTGTAAGCGAAGTAATTTGTTGGCAAGAAACAATAGTTAGTAAGTAAGAGAGACATTCGTCATTGGTTTGAGAATATCTACCATCCAATGTTATTTGATTGATACATGTCAAACGATTGTTCAAAGCTCTTGATAAACTATATGGCCAATGACTTTGTCTAAATAATTTAGAAAAATCATTTTTTAGAAGTAGATGAAATTTCTACATACACGTGAACAATGTTTTTGTTTACATATTTATAAGCATATAAAGATTTGTCCTTTCGTGGTAACGTGAAAGCTTTAATAGAATAACTATCATTATATAAACATAATTCTAATTCGATTGGTATTCGTCCTTTCAATTGTTGCAATGTATTTAACAAAATACTACTTGTGTTCGATAATGATATTGTAGTTTTCACAATCTATCTAACAATGTATGTATATGAACACTGATGACAAAGCATTGATAATAACTTGGAAACAACATTAGATCCAGTCACCATTCCTTCTAATGTGAATTTTGTCAATGAAAATAAAACATTATGATCAAATAATTGATCAAGTAGATCCATAGCATTAGTATCATATTTTAATGTTATTTTAAGACGACGTAAATTAGGAACCAAACGTTTATCAATACGAGAAATTTGACTGAAATAGATTAATAAAAAATAATCATAAATACATTATATATTATTTCACATTTTATTGAAAAAACAAAAAACTCTTTTCCATTGCTCATCTACACTATATCATATAGTACCAATGTTCTATTTATACATAATAGTTTGTATTTTTATATTAAAAATACTTCTCTTGATAATTTACCATCGATGAAAATTTTTTAAAACTTTCCATACAACAATTTTCTATCATATCATCATGCATTGTATCATAGTCATAAAATAACGGAACTTTTTATTTTACTCAGCTTTTGTGGAACTCACGTAGATTTTCGAAGAAAATAGTGAGTATAAGTTTTAAGGCCAAGATTTCGCGGCTCCCCCTCCCTCTACAGACCATAGCAACGAAAGAGAATATTACAGACCTTAGCGACCAGATTTAAAAAAATGAATATACATAAACACATATATGATAGCTTCATTCGCCATATAATTCAATGCTTCTTATAATAAAAATGTAAAATTAAAGAAAAAAGTAAAGTTAAAAATGAAAAATACTGAGCGAATAGCAACAAAGAAAACGAAAGATAAAGGCGCCTATCAGAAAATTGAAAAATGCTTGATTTTATGCTATCTATATTTTGAATCTTAGTGCAATGAAGCTGAAGAATCCACGTGAGTTCCACATTTCAGCCCCAAAGGGGCTACGCTAACAAGCTTTTTTTCATCGTCTAATTGACACTTATTTCGAAGATGTTCCTCCTTTGACTAATATTTAACTGAATATATTGTTGATATAAAACTATAAATAAAATCTAAAAGAAATTTATTAATGAAACATTAACAAATAATTAACCAATATTATGAGCATATTTTCATAGACAATCTATATTTATTTAACTATTTATTATCAAATATCCACAAATGTGAATATCAGAGACTTGCTATAACAGGATAATGTATTGTATAAGAAGAAAAACCATTTCTTTTTTGTCACGTAAACTCGTATTAAAATTCAATGGTTACAGTTTTAAAAAACAATTCTTTGATGTTGAAACTAACCAAAAGTATTTGAATTGTAAGCTTATTTTGCAAGATTAACTTTTGACAATAATTGATTAATGACTTTTATCGAAAGAGAATGATTCCATATTATAACTTATTTTACAGTATGTTAGAATATTTCTTCAAAATCTCATTGATTTTTATTTCACAGAAATCTTAAAATTTTGTGTTCAATAATTATTAGACGAAAAAAAATGAGAAAAATTTTTCTTTCAAAAACCAGGCCAATTGGATCATACTTATATTGTGATTAGATATGAGTTGATTGTCTTTTACTAATAAACAACATAGTAATCTATATGTTGGTCTCATAGAAAATAAAAACTACTGCTTACTTCTATCTTCTTATATTCATTAAAAAATTATTGAAATAACTCTGAACTTTTCAAATTATCATTTTACAATTAAACACTCCAAACGTCAGTAAACATTGTTGAAAAAGAATATTATTAATTTAGAAATAAAATCACTTTTAACTATTATTCTATTATTCTAATATGATTATATGACTTTACATAGGTATATCATATAGATTATTTTGATTTTAATAAAAGAAACTTACTTTTTATAATTATTCAATAATGGATGTTTATCAGGTAGCCAAGGTGTACTTAAATCAAAGGTGAGTTCTTCCAATTGTGGATAATATTGGAGTAAATGTGAGAGAAAAGCTGATGAACATTCTCGAAGTACAAATGATTGTAAATTCGAATGATTTGTTTCAATCGGTATAAAAGGTTTATTAAGTGGTAGAACTATTTGACTGTCTAGAGTGTCGTATATATACCGCCAGAATCGAAGGTGACATACACGTAATAAAGGAAATAAACGAAAGATTCTTTTATAATATGCACCCTCAGGTACATCTTTAAATGTATATGCAGCTCGATAGTATTCTGTATAATGTACGTTAAATATGACGAGAGATGTGTTGGATGCAGATGTATTGAGCATTAATTCAAAACAAGAACGTTTAATATCGATTAAAGATAAATGACGAAGATTGATAAATGCAGATATATTAGATGCTAACCATAAACCATTATCAATAGCTAATGTATGTGAGATACACAATGAAATAAGACGATCACGTATGTTTGGTTGTAATAAATGTGCATAATAAAATTCAGTGACAGCGATACCCATACCATTCAAACCCAAGTTAGCGCGAATAAATGGTATATTGCTAACGATAGCAGTGAAACGAGAATTGAGATTAGAAAAAATATTGAATATTTCATGGAACTGGAAATAAATAAATATCTCGTAGAATAATTCGACAGAGAGATCGTTCAATTTTGTTATCATATTTTGTTTTAATATCATACGATTGAATGCTGTGTCTCATTCTTATTGAATAGCTTCGTAAACAATAACACAATGTGGTTATTGTTCTCTTTGTCAACAATTGACGCTGTGAGATGATATTATCGTTCTTATTCATCAGCTTCATTGGTGAACAACAAATCGACAAACACAATTTTTATTTTCTTTTTCTTCTTTCGATAACATATCAAATAGTTTTCTTTATATTTTTTAGTTATTATTATTATTGTTATTCTTATACTCGAAGTAAAATGTTTTCAGAAGGAAATTAAATAGAAAAGACTGCTATTAGATTATCATTTCACTTTATTGGATAATCAATAATATGCTGATATTGAAAATCATAATTGATTCATATATCATTGTCTTTTACTTTTTATGTTTTTTTTTGTTAAGTCAAATAATTTTAATAAAAAAAATGCAATTAAAGGATGTAAACGTCAATTAGCAATTATTATTAAACAAGAATATATTTTTAAAAGAGCAGTGGTAGAATCGATTCCTAATATAATATCAAATTGTTCTTCACAATCTCAAGCATATGGATATCATTTTATTTCTTCTTTCGCTTTTCTTATATATATACGTCTCTTAATGTGAAGAATCGACATCGGATATCTCATAATTGTATAAGTCATTTTATCAACTAATCGTGTATTGTGCGCTAAATGATCTTCTATATTTTTCCGTTCATTACACATCATCATAAATCAATAAAAACTTGTCTTAAAATAAAATAAAATAAAATAAAATCAATTCATTGATAATATTAACTAAAACAAGCGAGAAAATCCCAAACAATTCTTTGACGTTGTTTTGAAATAAATTATATTAATTATCAACAATATTAATCACTCTCTACTAATGTCATTGATATCTGTAATTATTTCTTGAACTGATTATCGTCGTACATTATTTTTATCGTATCGAATATTAATCAGTGAAGCAACATATTTATCGTCAATTTCATCTATTTCAATATCTTATTAATAATATTTCATTAACATTAATATTTATTTCTTGAATTCATATTTCAAACAATCAGTTTTTGTTTTTTCATGTTTTTAAAATTCAACATGATAGAAATTCTTTTATATTTGATGATCAATCATAAATATCAATATGTATGAAATGAAATTGAGAGATAGAATTCATCTTATTACATCTATTGATTATTATTGGAGATCATGATGATATGAAAGATGTCAAATATTACAAATTTATCTTCATATAACATCGATAAGTCTTTAAATACTTGAGTATCATGCATATCTACCATTTTAATTGAAAAATGTTCTTTTTTTTTCATTTTCTATATTATTATTATTTATTTATTTATTTTTAAAAGTATTTCTTGTTTTATATTGACATAATAAAATCAATATATTTGAATATGTTGATTAAAATTGAAAATAATTATCAAATTCTACTATTCATAAACTAATTTGCAATATTTACGAATAAAGAAATGATATTAGAACAATCATCGATGGTGATTGAATATGAATTTATTTAATGATTTAAAAATATTTTATGTATACAATGTTTTCATAATGAAAATACATTAATATTCATTAGTATTAGAGATAAAATGAAGAAAATCGTTTGATTTTTATTTTTTTACAATTTGAAAATGAATATGAAATTAATACAATGCAAAAAATCATCGTTTGAAAAAGCTATTGAACATGATGAATAATTTATATATGTATTAATGCATTGTCAATTTCGAATCATATTTAATTAGATTGCTACTACTCTATATTATTCTAAGTATCATCATTAGTTAGATAATTATATTTATTATTTTCTTTTTGTTCCAAGTTGATTTAATCGTATGATTACGGAAATATATATATTGTATTTAAAAACAAGGTATTATTGTAAGCTGGAGTATGAGAAAATTTTTGTTCATATTAGACATTTATTGAATAGAAAAACAATTTGAAATAATAAAGTATGTCTTATTTAGTTTAATATGATAGGAAAGAAAAAAGAAATTCTGTTTTAAATTAAGTTATCACTAGGTTAAAAAAAATCAGTCTTATCAAGAACTTAAAGTCTTTTTTGTACTAGATAATTTATTAATTTCAATTGAAAACTTAATAATGAATAATTAATGAAAATTTCTTTTGTTATGTTTATGGATTTATTCAATTTGATTTTAACAGACTTTTAAATATGATTCAATTATGATTATAATTTTATCGGATGATTGTCGAATACATTCTCAATCATAACTTTGTACTTGGTTAAATGCATCATTAACTCTACATCGATATGTTTGCAATGAAAAATCACATCAAATTGATTTTTCTTTATATATACATTTAATAAACATTTAGAAATTTACAAACAACAACAACAATAATTTATAACAATAATAAAGGAAAAAAAAATTGTCTTTTATGAAAGAATGATCAAGACTTATTCAATTTTCTTTTGATTATTTTTTCGATGATATTAATTATTAACCCTTTGAGTACCGGCGACGCAAATTCACGTCCTGATAGTTTAGGGTCTGAATAACTTTAGAAAACATGATCGTTTGATTATTTTATGATATGACTTACATCAATATTTACGTTTAGGATATTTGTACGGTTAAGACTATCTGTACCTAGTGATGAATATTGGTTGTTCCCTAATATTTCTATCGACCACTATGTGATTCAATGAATTAGAACATAAGTCATTGGACAACATTTCCCAAGAAAGAATAATCGTTATCAACAGGATTTTTCATATTAACACAGTCATTCAAGAGTGTTATCTATAGTAAAGGTTCTGATCAATTGATCACATTTAATAACATTTTCCTTTGCGCATTGAATCAACAGAGCCTCAACTAAATCCAAGAAGAAAATGTTACGTTTGTGCCAACACTGTGAGAAGAGCCAGATCAAGAAGAGATACTTCGTATAAATGCATAGAATGTGATGTAGGATTGTGTCTTATGGATTATTTTAAAGATTATCACACTCTACAAGCATTTTAATTCATGTACTTTGTGATATTTTTTGCGAAATAAACGTTAGTTTGAAATTATAAAAATTTTTATTATATAAAAATAATCCGGTACTCAAAGGGTTAATCACAAAGTCAAAGTTTTTCTTCGTTTTCATAATTTTTCTTTTTATGAAAGAAAAACCTATTTAACAGTTCAATGAAATAATCATTATTCAATTCGATGTTCGTTCTATTAAAAAAAAACGAATTTATTTAATGATACTCATTTATATAACGGACTTTTTTTTCTACTCATTCACATTAAAAAATATCTTTATAGCCCCTTCAACCTTTCGAAACTTGATATTTATCAAAAAAAAAACAAATTTTTTGACATTAACATCTAAACTTATTTTATCTAGAAATTTACAAAAATAGTTTTAACTATTGAAGGTTTTGCTGGTTTGTTCTAAATGATTTATTAAAACTATCAAGATAAATAATGATATCTGACGCAATCACTGAAATTTTTTAGAACAATTAGATTTCATATATAATCAATGTTCAATATCTTAGATATATACATTTGAGATCACCAATGACTTGAAGATGTTAAAAATGGACCTTCATTTTACGTACACCCTCAAACTAGACGATTTTTTATATAAAATAAAATAGGATATTTTGTATGAGTTACAAAGAAAAATGAATCATCATTATCAGTCTGTAAAGAAGGTGTAAGACATCAAGTCAATTTAAAAAGAATTAATTTGTTATTCTTGTGTCATTATTATGTTGTTGAATGGTTTGACAACTGCAGAGGCAACAGTAGCTTCGTTCTAGAGAACTATGTTGTTTTTTTTTATCTATAGATATATGCGTAATTCTTCAGATGAGGGAAAGAATTTTTTCGACTGATAATCAATGGTAGATAAACTCTTGAGTTTTCAGAACTTTGAAAGTTTGGATGATCAGAAAAATGAAAGAGTAAAAATGAAAAAAAGATTTTTTTTCAAGCAGATTGATGAAAAATTCTCTTTGAAATGAAATCAAATCGAACATGCATAACTTGTCCTCTGGTAACTTGCTGAATAGTAAGGTATGGAAGCATGAAATTTTCTTATTAATCTATATTCATGATCCAAACATCTATAGAAAGTAGTTTATATCTTGTCGAAATTAGATTTCTTTTAAAGAAGAGAGGCTTAAATAATTTCTTACTCACTCAACAATCATCACAATACCTTGAGGTAAATTTCGTTGAAGATATTGAAAAAATGTATCAACTGTTGAACCAGTTAGATGTTTAAACTGTAAAAATTGTTTAAATTAACAATCGATAATGAAAAGAAAAATAAAAAGTTAGCATGAAATTTTTTGTAATATATTCGAATTTCATATTCTCGCTAATATTTCTTTTTAGCAAATTTTCAACGGAGTAAAGTTCAACGTTCAGTAAAAAAAAAAAAAAGGAGGATTTTCACTAAAAAATAATTTGAAAATTTTATTTCTTTTTAAATAAATATAAATATATTATTTACACATTAACAAGTTGAATATCAACTTGTGTAAATACAAGACGAACAAATCTCTCATAACTTTCTAATACAGCCGGATCGTGAACACATACGTGGTAATAACACAGTTTCATAGCGACCTCATCGAACGCTACCATTTGACAGGTTGATCCATAACTCCAATCATTTAAACATCGATAACTTACTTCGAGAAGAATGACTTACTCTGTCTCTATCAACTTACTTTCTTGTTGTGTCATATTTTATTTTACTCTAACTTTTTATTCAATAAAAAATGAAAATACTGTTATTCTTTCCGAGAATTTCTTAATCTAAATCATTTTATTACTAAAC